CCCCCCCCCCAATTACCGACTGCTGATACCCCCTTCCCTCCGCGGTGACGTCATACCCCCCCCGCGGTGACGCCATACCCCCGTGATGTCATACCCCCCGCCCGCGGTACCCCCCCTCCCCGTCCCTCATCCTCCCTCGGCGGACCTAGGGTTAGAACCCGCTTACTATACCTACTGATATATATGATAATTCTCTTTGTCGAAAATATGTATGAATTAACGCTGCCCGACACTTTAGATACGAGCGGAAAAAGAAAGGGCAGACAGAGATTGCTGGGAATGGGAAGCGAAATACGTGTAGATGGCGCTTAACCTGAGTATGTTCTGTAAAATATACATTGGCTGCGATCCACTTAATTTTTATGTTCTGAGTATGTTCTGAGTATGAGCTTGAGAATATAAAAGCAATGATATTCCATCAAGATGTTGTATGAATATTCTCTTGTATATTAGCAATAGTACGTATAGCCATAATACTTTTAGTATGAGTGTAGAATGATTCGTATGATATCATGTGCTGTTAGGGAATTGTTTAGATAATATTCACTTATAAATCTTTTACCGGTTTTCTTTCAAGAGTTTGTTTTTCCCCTAAAACCCGATTTCGGGCACCAACGAAAAATTATTTAGTCATTACGTTTACCTACTCTATAATTCTGCTCTATAATTCTGCAAAGTTTCAGTTTTTTTTTATTTATGCGTTGCTGAATGTCCTTTGTTAGTTTAATCTGTTCTATCTTTACACATGTTATAGCAAAGAAAGTTTCAGACATCCTATATATTTAATATCTTTTCATTATTTATCCAAAAAATGATATACATAATTAAATATTTTTTCTCTTTTTTAGAACCAGAAAAAAAGAAAATAGATTAAATTATTTTACATTACTAATTGTAATAATTATTATAATAAGTTATAATTTAATTAAGTTATAATTCTTATAGTTATAATAATTTAAATTAAAGTTAATAAATTATTTAATAACTGTAATTTCATTTTATTAAATTTGTTAATAATTATGTATGTGTGTATGTGTATATATGTATAATGTTTATAATATTTACAATATAGACATAGTACATCAAGCAATGTTGTTTATTCGTTTATTCAATGAACTATGATTTTTTCATCTAATAACAATTAGCTAAATAGCGCGCGCGTAGCGTGCGCCTGTATTGTTCTACTTAAAAGTAAATTTGATAATAATTAATTACCGGGGAGAGTCGTAAAATACAACAGTGTCGTCGTATAAAGAAAGTGGAAGGAGGAGAGAGAGTGACGCGTCGCCATTGTTTCGTTCCGCAGTAGCAATTCGTAAAAGCTCGCGAAATAAGAATCTCGTGTTAGTGCACGGACGTGGGATACGCCCGGGACGTGATCATCGTCGTCTAGGATATTCGGTGTTCTCGAGAACAGACCGCGACGGCGGTACAAAGTCATCGTTCCGAAGAAAGCGCGCGCGAGAGAGAGCGGGTCGACAAAGCGGACGGGCGCGTGGGCGTGAGTGCGAATCGCGAAGAAATTTGTGATTAACAAGGCTAAATTAACTCGGAGATCTTCGACGCGGACGATCCGGACGATCGGCACCTTCGTCGACGTCTCCTGCATCTGGCGACCTAACCTGAAACTATCACTGCCGATAGAGAGATCATCGGCGACCTTCCGCACAAACGAGCGTGGTTCCGGAGAGAATATAAGGTAGGAACACGCTCAAGAAAGCTATCTGTCATCGCCTGTAAAATTTCATTGTGCCGGGACAAAGATTTCCCATTGTTTAGACATGCGAGTGACACATAGGCTTATGTTCCGTACTAGGGCTTCTCCGAGTGATTCCGAGTCTCCATCTCATTAGTACGAGTAGATTTGACAATTCCGCTTCTAACGAGCCATCGCACGCTCAATTCTAATAATTATAAGCCGCAATTCTAATAATTATAATTCTGATAATTATAAGCCGAAATATAAGCATTATAAAAGTGCCAAGTGCTGATAGATAAAAATTGACACAGATTATTTTGGAAAGTTTCTAAACAGTTCAGTCGGGAAAGCCGACAATTTTATTACAATTAATAGACTTGAATACGGACTTGCTCGTCGAAGAAGAATTAAAATCGGTCAATAATTAGCCGAGTAATTAAATAAAAGGCACTGTTAACGGAGACAGTTCGACTAACATTTTCAAGTATAAAGGTTCAAAGTAAACTTTGTGATTAAGAGTAGTAGCCTCGATTAAAAATAATATTAGTAGAGATACACTGCTAACATACTTGAATACCAAAGCGCGTTAACCTGGGTTATCCTGGTGACTGAGAAAAAAATTCATCAAAGTCAAAATCTATTTCTCTGTAAAATTGCAACTTCCGGTAATCCTGGATTAATGAGATTAGATACACAAGATCGCGCATTAATTACAAAGAGAATTCGATTAGGTTTATCAAAATCGGTCGATAATTAACGATTTTACACAAAAAAAGGGCTCATATTTTGGACTTAGAAAAATCACAAGTAGTGATAAGAGAAAATTTATACAGGAGCTTCCTAGCTCAATGAAATCGTGCATGATATAAGATAATTACCTAAGAAAACCAACTCTATAATCAGATTTACATTCGGTTAAGCCGTTTAAAAGATATCGACTGTACAAAAATCAGATTTGAGTCAAGGAACGACAAAAATTGATAATAGATTATTTTAGATAGATTTTCACCCATTAATCCGGGAAACTGGAAATAAAAACCACAGATTCCTCACATAAATTAAAATCAGATCCAGAAGGAATCACTCGATTTTGATAATTATACGATTTTTAAGAAAATAAAAGGTGTCAAATTTAGAGTCATTACGACAAGTATCTCTAACATAGCTTTCAAAAACCAACTTTTGAACCGTAACACATAGAGCAAAGCTATTTGGTACACGTTAAGGATATATCAAAACAGACTTGTATACGAAGGTACAGGTCATTAAGACCAGTAATTACCTAATTACAACCAGTGATAGGTGGGGTTAGAATTCCCTTGTGCTAGACTTGTTACACTCTATTTAGACAAAATTAAAAGTATTTTTAAACAAATTTTACTCTCATTAGTGAGAGTACTACTAACTAAAGACCAATCGACCATATATTATACGGATTTTTTCCAAATTTTGCCAAAAATTGCTAAAGTGTGTAAAAACTTTAAATAGGGTAAAAATAATATAATTAGATACATTTTTATACAAATTTTCATCTCTACACCAAGATTTCCAAAAGTAGAAGACCATTCGACCATAATTTTTCCAAATTTAATTGTAATTTTTCAAAACAAATTTAAATTTACATAGAACATCTATATACAGGTAAAAATCAATAATTAGACTTAGATACACACTTCTGATTAGCCTAAAAGCAGGGGCACCATAAGCACTAAGTGCACACCAAGCATCGACCTTGAATTTTGAAAAATAACACCACTTTTCGCTGGTTCCCTGTAAAATTCTATTTTGACTCATAAATCATGCCAACGTGATCAGAATTGACAAATCGATATAAGTTGGAAAAGATCTAGTGGAGCGCCAACTATATATAATAGAATTACTTCGAAATTTTCAGTATTTTTTGAGAAAAATAGTTAAAGGTGTTAGACATATAAATAGACAAAAATATCCAAATCTGGCCATATCTTTGTGTGTGTGAAGCTGGCGTCTCATTTCATGGAAACTCACAAATTATTTAGAGTTCTGGCTTCTTTTTTAATAGTTCTAGAGTTCCTGATAAGTTAAACAAATAGTTCTGTTCATTAAAGCAGAAAAATTGGGTCCGGACAAACTGAGACGCCAGGTTCACGCTGCGTCTCAGTTTGTCCTAAACAAGTTCCGCGGCAATATGATATCACAATTTGAAAGATTCATAGTTCTACAAGAGTTCTATAAAGAGTTCCACCCCAGAAACGCAAAAAAAATAATTACAGATAAATTAAGTTTAGCGGAAACATGTAACAAGAATACGATTTGAGACGCTGCCGGAAATTTCAGAGATGTAGCGATCCTAAAAGAGTTCTCGTATAATTCAGAGCATGCTAAAACATTTTCCAAAGAGTAATATGCATTGGAGTTGTTGTACAATTTTTAAATAAATTAAAAATCGTCGAGCGTCGCGCACTTAGAAAGATACGAGACGCTGGCCAAAATCTAAGAGCTCTTGTCTATCCAAAATGTTTCTCGCATACGTCTGGCCATATATAAATATCTTCTAAAGAGTTCTATGCTTTGGCAAAGTTTTATGA